CAGTACATGATGAACCTAGTGGCCGAGTACCTGCAGCACAGAGCAGAACTGGCAAGCGAGAGGGCATGGTGGAGGATACCCCTGGCCCAGCAGCAAAGAGTGTCACAGGGAGAGGTCAGTCCCTTATCCCAGCAGACGCAAGCAGCACTGGGGGTGGAGACTGTCGATCTCACTATCCAGCACCCGGCAGCGTTACTGGGAGTCGAGACAGCCTTTTTTTTTTTTTTAAAGCTAAAGTGATTTAACCAATAAAGAATGGTGTAACCAAAAACTTTAGAAGATGGCACTGAGTGCTCTGCCCATCCTTTGTTGCGGTTTGAAGGCTTGGACTGGGTGCCACTGATCTCAGCTTATATCGAGCTAACCATTTAAAAAAAAAAAAAAAAAACTGAGTGGAAAAGATACACACCTTTTTCACTCGGTTTTCTGAATGGGAAACTAGTGATAGACTGAGAGTATCATCTGACCCATTCAGCCTATCAGCAGCACCCAGAAAAGCTTCCCAAATGAAGCTCTGGACCAACAAAGGAAGTAGAGGGTGCTATCTTAAAGAAGATTTTAAATCCTTAAAGGTAAAAACTCCTGAGACATACGCTCACCATAATATTATTGCAATTGTTAAGTTATGGTGTCTGGAGTGTTCTTTTAATCACTCAGTTAAAACAAAAGCTTTGTGGAAGGTATATGAGAGAGCTGGCATACGCCTTTTAATTGTGCATAAGTTGTACATGCTTGACTGTTAGCACATGTGTGGGCTTTTGCCAAATGGAAACATTTTTAAATTGCTGAGTCATATGCAATATAGTTCTACATTTCACTAGTCAAGACCATTAGTAAAAGGTAATTATTTTCTCTGCAGCGTTAGAAGAATATTCTTTTACATTTTCTTGGGGAAGTTTGTGCAGGCAGCAGAAATGTGAACTTCCTTTTGCATATTTTAAATTAAGTTTTCTATTTATAACAGTTTTTAAAAATATATGCAGTGGAGATAATTTAGCGTTCGAGAAGGACTACATCACTCATGCATGCTGACTTCTAGAAAAATAAATAAAAATAAACTAAACCCTGATGGATGTAAAATTTGTAATTAGTCTTGGCCTGAAGTTTAGATATATTGCACTGAAAAACTTTAAACCACTGCATTCACTATGAATTTTGAAAAATGTTATTGGTAAGAACATGTAATGAATCATAAATAGAACAAAACTATCAAAAATTCAGAATCTTTAAACATGGAGGGAGCAGGTACAAACTATATGACCTTCTATACCTGTGTACATTTGTAACAGCTCCACCTACTGTCTGGCCAAAACATTACACATTATAACCATGAAGATTAAATTCCTATAGTGGCAACTAGTAGAAAGGAAGTGAGGACATGTAAACCCAATACATACTGAAGAACTTAAAAAAAAAAAAAAAAAAAGGAAAGGAAAAACAAAAAAACTACCAAAAAGGTGTCTCTTAACTGAATATGGTGTAGCAGTCGCAATTGTAGTGGTCACAGATGGAATTGTCATAGAAAAATAAAAACATAACTTTTAATAGATAATTATAAAAGCCTTTGAAGGTGAAAATAAAGTAACAAAAAGCAAAGACCAGGGTATTTGGTCCTGATAGAAAATCATGGTCTTGTTATAAGAGCACTAAGCATTCTTAATCTGTCTAACTGCCTGAAAGAGACAATGTATCACAAAATAAGACTTCGTAGTGAAAAGGATCTATTTATACACTATTTACAGTGCAGGTAGGGGGAGAGGTAATAACTATTTCCGTGAACTAGACTCTGCTGCAGAAAAAGTCTGGTCAGATAATATTCAATTAAGAGACACCTTTTTGGTAATGTTTTTGTTTTCCTTTTTTTAGTTCTTCAATTTAACCATTTAGGGGTTACCCCCCCATTTTCATACTATCTACCATTATTTTGTCTCATCTCATTATATAGGCTCCTTTTTCCCTTTTAATTCCCCTATACATACACACTAAATATTTTGGTGCAAAAGCACACATGCATAGTTTGTTTTAGTGAAGGATATGAAATGCTTAACATGTATTAAGGCAACTATTTTCTTGCACATGTTATTCTCAGATCTATGAAAATTTTAGAAATCTGTATGGAAGCATTTTTCAGAGTGTTTTGGATACAGTCACACAAACTAATAAAGAACGGCATAAAAATTGGTTTCACACATTTTATTGCCAAGAAAGAAAAACGCCACACAGATCATATTTCCTTATTAAATTAAAACAAACTATTTTGACAGTATACCAAGAGACCAAAAACATTTGCAAATACTTAATTGTTCTTTAAAAACAAAATGCCTATAACCGTTTTCTGGCATTTAAAATTACTATCAATTTAATTGACAAAAATATACACACTGTTTTCATTTATGGAGCAAAATATGGCTTCCTGTGCATCCTTGAGAGGCAGCATCTACAGTCAGGATGTACAAAGACAATAACCAGTGCATATTTTTGTTGAATGTTAGAAATCCTCTTTATGATAAGATAGCTTTGATATCTCTCAGCTACTTTAACTTTATTGAAATAAAAATATACATTTTCCTTTATTACTGTGTTAATAAAAGGAAACATTAATAAATTAACAGAAAAATCAATTCTGGGCACTTTCTTGAAGATTCCAAATAATTGCATAGTTTATTAATACAATCTAGATATGAAATACTGGCCTCATTTGCACCACAAAACAGTAATGCTATTTAATATTTTTCATTGTGATAATTTCCATTTAAATCAAGTTGAAGATCGCACGCAAAAAAGGGAAGAGGAAGTTAGGTATGAAATATTTTCCAGTACAGAAACAAGACCTCATTTGTTTAAGAAAACTCCTCATCATTCCATTGCTTGTAATAGATTGGAAATTTTCCTAAATAGGCATTGATAAAGTTCAATGTGATCTATGGTATTCTACTATAATTCAGAATAAATGTTGGTGCAAAGACTTAAAAATTGTTTTAAGCGACACTGGTAAGTTACCACCTTCCATTCGCTTTCATGATGCCTGGGTTTTATCAGAGGGATGAAGTACTCAAAAAGTACTTCAGAGACATCTTCCATACATGACATGATGCAATGCAGTTCAGTGAAAAGCCTTTTGTATTCTTCAAACCTAGGAACCTAACAACTGACCAAAATATCACAATAACCCTTCTGTAGCAGACATGGGTTATTAAAAGGCTTTCTTGTTTTTGTTGGACAATGACACTTTGGAAATTGGAATAATACAATTGTTGATATATAGTCTTTGCTCTTTATATTACCTATAAATTAACTTAACTGAACAAATGTTGAATTTTAGAATTTTACATCTTCTATGGAAAGCAGCAACGATTAAAACAAATAAAGGTCACTGCATACCATAACAACTTCATCTTATGGTGTGAAGACCCTGTTCGTTCAGACCAAAAAAAACAAAAAACCAAACCAAAACAAAACCAGTTTCTGTGTATAGGGCCTCCCTATCTTCTGGAGCTATCAGCCAGCCGGATGGAATACTCTGTACAAAACTGGTATAGCAAACCAGGGACACCCGTATTGCCAACGGTTTAGTTTTTTTTACTTTTGGAATATTTGTACAAATTCTAATACATGCATATTGTTCCTTTCTCTTTAACACTTTCTAATTAGTGGCACAAACAACAAGGAAAATATTGCTCCACCAGAATTCCCTAGCAGCTCTTAAAGCTCTGCTGAATAAATGTACTTTCTGGAGAGCAGAGAAATAGGCTGGGTTGATATCATGCCCACTATGGAGCTACTGAAAGAGCATAATGCATTGTATGTGACATAATCACATACAGACCAGTTTCTTCATATGTTTGACTTTGTGTTCTGATAGTTAGATTTTTTTTTTTTTAAATGGAAACCTCATAAGCAATTTTATCATAAGTGCTAAAAGTATGTGAATATGCGGTTTAGAATGCAAATTCAAATACAGTAATGCAGGTTCAATAGTCCTACCTTGAGTCTCAGATCAGTTTTTTTTTAAAAAAATATAAATATTACAAGTGATCAAAACTTATTAGAAGATGTGTATAAAAAGTGTTGTGCTCTCCTTGGTGTATGTGAAAAATGTATTAACCAGTTAACGTAATACATTGGTGTCTTTTCCTCCTCCTTTAATGTAGTTCAACAGACAGTCTCTGCTGCTATTTAATTTCTTCTTTTTTTTTTTTGAGCCATGACAGAAAATCAGTAGGGAAAAAAACATGCAAATAAAGGAATAAATAGCCATTCATAAGATCAGCACTAGAAAATAATCATAAAAATAACAGTGTCATTATACATGACCCCCAATATCCACTTTGAAAGATAATAAATCAGAATGAATGAACAGTGCATATTGGTTAAATGCTTATATTTTTTTGTTCACTCAAAATCCAATGACCATATCATGAAAACGTGTTTATATTTGGTTTTCTTCATGGTAAAACTATAGACGTGGTAAATTCTGACTGTAAGAATTTCTTTATAGAGTATTTACCATAACCTACAAATTACACAATTATCTCTAAGAAAAGAAAAGAAATGTTAAACAATAGTATACCTTTCTTTGCAAAGATTTGGAATGCCAATAGCGTGGAATTTCCAGCACATGGACCCACGATTCCATAAAAACCAAAACAACAACAAAAAAACCCCTCAGAGGTAGGTGCAGTGGTGTATCCTGGTTTTGTGCTGCTCTAGGCAGGACAAAACTCAGGCACTCCACCCTCCAACCCGCGCGCCACCCCCACCCAACCCTTCCCCCCCGCCCGCATTCTAAATACACACACACATTCACTGACAGAAACAAACACACACACACTAACAAACACACACACTAGCAGACAAACACTTTTTTTTAAATTTTAATTTAACACCCCCCCCCAGCCTCCTTACCTTTAGGAGTGCTGGGGGGGGTTCTCCATCTTCCCGGGGCTGCCGGTCAGGCTGATGGGCTAGCTGCTGGGCGGGTGGCGCTGGTGAGGGAGCACTTTCCCCTGAGCGCGCGCCCAGTAGTCAGCCCAGCATGTCAGTTAGCCGCAAGGCTAACAAGACATTTGCCCTGGGCATTTGGGGGCGGCTTTTTTTGCTGCCCCCTGGAAAATGCCGCCCAAGGCTAAAACGTCCCTGGGTAGGTGCCTTCGATTTAGAGGTTTGCAAACAGAGTAATCTATATATCCATCTATATTATCAGGTCTAAATCAATATGGTTTACACATTTAAATTAAAGATATAAATAGCTCTAGGCTGGTCAGAAAAAATAAACTTTAACAACTTTGTAAATTCTGACAGCTACTTCCTCTAATGGATTTTTAAGTTCTTAGGCTTACTTCCTCTTTAGTAAAATGTTGTTTACCAGAATTCAAACCAGTAAAATTAAACAGAGAAGCTTATCCATAAAACAAAAGGAAATAAACATGCAATATTGTATTCAGCAAAGAGAAAAGTGTTGAGTGTTTTTAGTAGGTATATCAAACTAAGGTTAAAAAAAAAAAAAATATATATAAAAAAAAAATTAAATATGTAACGTAATTGTTTTTACAACTTTCTGATTTGATACGAGATAAGTAACTAGTTAATAAAATCCTAGATTATGACTGACAACTTAACACTTCCATTCAGCTCATTCATGTGTTAACAGTAGTGGAACTACAGGGTCGCCTAGGTCGTGAGTGCGACCAGGCCCTCTGTCTGGCCTACTCTGCTAAAATATACTGGGGGCCTGTAGATGTGCTCTACCAGCCAGGGCCGGCCTTAGACTTTTAGTCACCATGTGCAAAAATGATTGGTGGCTGGATGTTATTTGTATGCTATGTACAAGATTTGTAATGGTTGTATTGGCTGTGTATTTATTGTCTGTGTGTGTGATAGGTACAGGCAGAAACACACCTTTTCATAATATGCACTGGCTGTGTGAAGAGGTGGAGGCACCGCTGTCCCGGTCTAGTTTTTGGGGAAGCAGGACTGCTTCATGCTCGATAAAGGGGCTAGGATTCTTGCCCTGGGCCCTAGGATTCCTAATTACATCCATGGTGTTCAACGTCTTGAACACACTTCTGGATAAGTAAAGTCTTGAGAGTATAAGGTCGTGTCAAGTTTCTGTATTTTTTTTATATACCTAAATAAATGTAGATGACCCATAATGAGCCTTAATTACATATAGTAAAAATAAATGCATCCACAAAGACTGTAGAAACAGGGATGTAAAAACAAAAAACATATGACTTTCACGAACTACCATTTCAAAGAAAAAAAACAAAAAACTAAAACCTCCTACCAATAACAGATTGGTATACACATTACAGATTATAATTTTCAATGCCAGATCTAATATATATGACAGTTATTGAGGATGCTCCAGTCTGTCTAATAAGTCTACACCAACTTGGCTTTGTGTGGGTCTCACTGGCTAGTGAAAGAAGGGCATGCAAGGAATGTGGATACAATTATAACTGGGAGCATTTAACAAAACTCCTCATATGATTATGACATTTCAGGGAATACTAGATTTGAATCCCAGTCAGATTTTATCAACAAGTGTATCTGTGATAGATTATATAATGATATAGATCGGTCTACCTCAAATTCTCAGAAGCTGGGCCTTCTTCACCTCTAAATACTCCCTTTCAAAGATTTTAAAGTGCTGTGGAATAAGTTGGCGCTGTATAAACTATAATAATGATAAATTGAAAGGTATTGTGCCTTCAAGAACAACAAGAGTGACTGAAATGGTTGATGTTTGAAATAAACGAATTGAACAGGTCATACTACAGAATGATACAAACATAGTACAATGTTCTTCTTTAGGTTTTCTTTTTAATTGTATAAATATCTACATAATTATGGAAAAGTCAATCATGAACTATATATTTTAACTTGCTATCTCAAAGTGGTCACTATAATATGAAAAATATGGTTATTTTGTAGAAAATTGTCAGAAATATTCTCTGCAGTAAAGCATGTGCAGTATTGAGGTCAGGAGTTAATAGAACAGGGTAGGTCAAAACAATGGCAAACAAGGTAAAATTAGATTTGTAACTGTAAAGTAAATTAGATGTTCAAACTAAATAAAATATGGGATTAAACATTATTTAAGTGACCCTCAAGGAAAACAATCTTTTAAGAATCCTTCGACAAACCATCTTCATCTTCACTGATATGTTCAGAAACACCACTCTCATCTATATTTTCCAATTCATCAGCTCGCTGAATAGACAAGTCTTCCAAATTAACACTAGGTAGTGTATTTTGCTCTGGATAGACCCAGGGCTTAAAATCTGGTTCATGTTTCCGTTTCCATTCAGGATACTTTAGCCCAGCTTTGTAGATCTTCTTCATGGCCTGTATAAGAGGCATCATAAGTAATTAGATTTTAAAAATGAACAGTTAGATTTGTATTTTTCACGAGAGAATTAAACATACAGTTGTGTTTAAAAGTTTGCATATCCTTGGATCATTGGTAATATATGTACCATTTTTTAAGAAAACACATTTCTTTTATTTCTTATGGGATTCATATTCAACTGTATGTTATAACAGAATGGCACAATCATAAAACAGAACATGGCAACAAAGAAAAAAATTAAATGACCCCTGATCAAAAATCTGCATACCCTTGGTTCTTAATACATACCTAATTCTTGCAGGTGGTATAGCTGCCCATTCATCTTGGCAACATGCCTCCAGGTCATCCAAAGTCTTTGGCTGTCTTGCATGAGATCTCCCCAGGGTGGTTCGATGATATTAAGGTCAGGAGACTCTGATGGCCACTCTAGAACCTTCACCTTGCTCTGCTGTATCCACTGGAGGGTCCACTTGGCTTTGTGCTTAGGGTCATTGTAACGCTGAAAAGTCGAAGTGCGTCCCATGCGCAGCCTTCGTGCAGAAGAATGCAAATGGTCTGCCAGTATTTTCTGATAACATGCTACAATTATCTTGCCATCAATTTTCACAAGATGCCCTGTGCCTGTAGAGCTCTCCCCCCCCCCCACCCTAAACATCAGTAAGCCACCACCATGTTTCACAGTGGGGATAGTATTATTTTCACTATAGGTCTTGTTGACCCCTCACCAAAAACATTGTGCTTATGATTGTGACCATAAAGCTCTATTTTGGGCTAGTCACTAAAATCACAGAGTGCCAAAAGCTGTCGTTGGGCATATTGTAACATTGATAAATGGCTTCATATGATCACTATCCTTTTGAAAGATCATTCATATTTTCAAAAGCAATGCCAAAATTTCACAGTTTCTGCCAGGGTATGCAAACTTTTTAGCACAACTGTACACATTTCTTTCTGTACGCAAACACCTTCATTTAAAACCATCTGTTTATCATTAATCAAGTCAAGGTCTCTTGATTTACATTGGTGTAAAGGACATACCTTTGGGGCTACAAACTGTGAAACTTTGTTTACCACCCACTTTGGTAGTGAACCTGCGAAAAAAATATTAAAGAAACAAAATGTAATATTGGTACAATTTTAAAGTTGCATTAAAATACATCAAAAATAATGTATAAGCATATGGAGAAAAAATAAATAAATCTATCAACACACTATCAACAACAAAATGTAATATATTTGCTCAACAAACCATGAACCAGGGCATTGTTTCTGACATTAAAATGTACTAAGTACTATATGTAAGTGTACATAGTGACAAACTTTAAAATACGGGGGCGGGGCCTGACCGCCGGCGGGATCAGACGTGCTCTGTCTGAGCTCCTGCTCCGGGCCCGGTAAATCGGCGTTAACCGGAGACTACACTTACCCAGCAACACACACCGGCGACCAAGTCGACCCCCAGCTGCTGGGGAACACAAAGACACCCGCCAAGACACTGTCTGGCACCAGCAACGACGTGACAAGGTCCCGGAACACGTGGGAGCTTGAGCCGGGACGAGACGGCCGCTCTCCTGGGTCTCCGGCCGGCGGCTGGCTCCCCCTCCCCCCTCTGGACCGGGGGGGTCATCCCGGTCTACACAGGCAACTACTGGTGCACCAATCAGGGCCTAAAAACAACCACCTTGCCGAGGATCATCGGGCAGCGCTCCTCAAGATGGCCGCCGCACGCCAGCCATGTGCGCGACCTACCCGCATAATTAAGCTGACCGCAGGGGAGACCAACCAGCACCACCTGACCACCATCACAGACTGCCCCAGAGATATGTTGGCTGACTACGCTGGGACGAACTAAGGTACAGGCTATAGTTAACTGGCACAAACAAAGGGGGCATAAAAAGGGCAGGACCCCACAGGACAAGCCCTGCAATATAAATACATAGGGACCACCAGACCCCAGCGCTGCCAGCCCCGCAAAGACAGACCTGAGGGGCCGAAAGATCAAGCCACTCACCCTGCACCCAGCCAGAAACAGCCCACCTCAACAGCCTGGACCTGAGACACCACAACTGCTGCCACACACTAATAAGACAGCGCAGGGGACGCCAAGGCACCGCCTGGGCATGAGAGGAGCCTACCAAGCACCGGAGCGAGATGAAACCCCAGATTGGGAACCCAGAGACTGCAACCCGTGACCTCTACAGATACAGCCTCATTAAAGCTTGCGCTCTGCGGGACTCATTTTATATCTATGTACTCCCGTTATTTGTTATTATCTAGCTAGGTAGTCACAGTTGGAGTATGACAGCGCAGGCCCCTCACCCGTTAAAACTAAGCAGTCAGTCTATGTGTAGTCAAGCATAGTGTCTCTGAAGTAAAGCCTGGAGTAAACGAGATATATGTATGTTTTACTATGCCATAACATGCAGCAATGTTGGCTAGAACAAAGCCTGTTTAAAGACATACTACAGCCTGATATAGTATAATCCTCTGCCTCATGTTTCACTTTTCCCTCTTACTTACAGTGCACAACATGCTTGCCATTTCGCCTTGCTCCCATTGACTCACTGAAGGCACTAACATATAACGCATCAGTACAACATGCAAACACATAGCACACTCTGTCATTTCAACTGTACTGTGTAATCTGCGCAGAACTACCTGATATATGTTAAGCCTCACTATACTGTTTCATCTGCTGTGCCTAGCTCTTAGCATCTAGCATTTCACCATGCCTATCACACGACAATCTAGCATGAAGCAAGATTTTAGCGGGTTAACTCGCCCATAGGCAATCAACTACTAAGTTTGTTTAACCGTTAACATGTTTCCTACTATGACTATATAAAAAAAAAAAAATGTGCAATGTTTTTCGCCATACCAATGTTAACATATGTTTGCATATTTGCTTGCACCAGCTATCGTGGCAGTGCAAACATGGTTGCTCACGCTATGCACAAATAAAATAAAGAATTAAAAAAAAAAAAAAAAGAAAGAAAAAACTTTAAAATACTTATCATTAAATGCTAAGAAAATTGAAACTTTTCATATAACATCCCAGGATGAGGTGGTGGGTTTTGGGTGCTCTTTGAAAGGCCAGGAATCACCTCTAGTGGTTAGTGCACGGCTAAGAGGACATTGATACTGCACCCAGACCATAACATTTAGAATGAAGAGGTCTGGGTGCCTATAGTGTCCCTTTTATAATAAATTCAACAAACTATTACAATCTTTAACTGGAAAGAGGTTGCGGCTTGAACAAGCTTACAATCTAGAGGAAGTGGAGTATACAAACTTCACGAGCCTCTTGGGGTATAAACAAGTAGGTGTATAGGAAAGCAGCAAAATTGGAACGAGTGAGTGAAGTGTGGACCTACTAAGTTTAGAGAGTAGTAAAAAATAGATTTGAGGGATGACATTTACCCAAGAAAACCATAGGGTAGTCTGAAGACATGGGGATTGAGAGCCTTCTTAAAGGATGGAAAATGATGGGGAAATTTGATATGACAAAGTGGGCTGTTCTATAGTAATGGACCTGCCCACGAGAAGTCTGTGAGTGTTATAAGTATGGGTATGAGCAGTAGACAGGAGAAGGTCAAAGGCAGAACATAGAAGGGATAAATCTATGAATTTGTGAATAAATGTAGTAGAGGTAGAGTTGATAAAATAATTGCCGGTAGGTTTTCATATATAAATATAAAATATTGCTAGTAAGCATTGCATAAAACAATGTTAGACCTCGCATGCATATAAGTAGCTGGACACAAAAGCAAAATATGGCCATATAGTGTGATAAAATATTTAACATTGTTACTAAGACATGAAAGAAAGCAATTTAATTGTATGCATCATTTCAGAAACAGCTCAACTAAGTAGTGCATATTGTGAGGGAATGGTTTCATGTGCATTGAGCTTTTGGGAGTTGCTGCGTGTGTTAAATGCATTGCATTTCTGGATCAACTTGGCAATGAATGCTGAGTTATAGTGCACATTAGTATACACATTTGACAATTGCTGTAAATTAAAAAGAGCCTGGCCAATTTAAAGAATATCAGCATACAAAATAATATATTGTA